CCTGCGTTGCGCTGCGCGAGCATGCATCGTCTGCGAGGGCGGATGGCCTTGTTATCGCAGTCGTCATCAGAATTGATCAGGCCTTGCACATTGATTTTTAGTCGATGAGCAGATTGTGCAAGATGCAAACTGCCATAAATTCGCAGAAAATAGTCTTGAAGTTACCTATTTGCTGCGGACCGCAATTCCTTCAGATGCCCTTCAGAATGTCGAAGGTCCGCTCAATGACATTCCTCGCCATTGAGTGACAATCATCGAATGTTAGTTGCACAGTCATTCGATCTCTACAGGTGCTATGGGGAGTCATCAGCCAGTCGAGCAAAGGAAACCCAACATCTCTCAATAAGTACGGTGCAATAGGAGTGTCATCCCGCAACAAAGTAGATTCCTCGCCAAACACATCCACACCAAACACATATACGCCACTCTCAACTTCAACGCATAGACATGACATTCACAGCATGCGAGAGTCATGGACAGATCCCGGGCTACCAACGTAAACATCTGAAATCCTACACTCATGGTCGCACACAACTTGGGCAATAATTGAGAACTGTCTCGCGCGATTGTAGTAGCACTCCATACGCTCATTATTGGGCTTTCCGATGTACAAATGGGTGCAATCAATAGCACCTACACATCCAGGGAATCCTTTGTGTTAAAACTTAGAAGTGATTCATGCAGTTTTCCAGATGCTGTCCCTTTGAAAAGGAGATGACATGAGGGTAGTCCTTGACGATAGCTTCACCCACGTCTTTGTTGCTTCTCCGGGCGCTCATGAGACCCATCCCCAACCCGTGACCAGACTGCCTGTGGTATCCGCCAGTTGCCCACTTGATGAGGGCACATGCAAATTTCTGCTTCGCCTGCAGAGGCTGCCTCCAGATTGTTGTTGCATGCTGTATATGACTCGGAGGACCGATCCGCTGAATCCCGTCATGGAATAATGGGCGTGGCAACCCGCAAAATCTCACGAACACCTTGTCATGACGGTGCCCCACACGGTGCAGGTCCTGCCAAGTTGAACCCCCCCCGGCTGCTCCAACACCCAAATCCTCCTTCTGTCATCCATCTATCATCCATCTCTCTCTCCATGTTTGTCATCGCCAGCCACACGTTTGCCATGCTATCGTGAACACATCTTGCTAGAAGTAGCAAGCACTGCTCCAAGCAGTCGTCGACTATAGGTAGGGAGGCCGCAGCCTGCAGGACAGCCGTGGCGACTGCATTTCACCTATTCATCCACTGCACGATCACCATGACAGTCGTCAACAACACTTCATGGCCGTTTTCCTCTCCATTCAGCCTCCGCTGTTGTGCTCCTCCGCTCGCCATGGCCGGGTAGAGATTGGATGCAAGGGCAGAGTCGTTCACGCTTGCCACACTGCTGTCTTCTTGCTCGGGGACGAACCCCCAAGCCACGTAAGCGAGCACGTCGGGACGGGGAGGTTGTGCGCTTCACGACCCACAATGATGGGAAAAGGGGCAGTGTGTGTCGGGTGTTGACGATGATGCGGAGGACGGGCATTGTATGGCGTCAGCAGCTCTGCTCCTTCGTGACGATGAACAGGTTCTTTACAGCCGGAAGCACCGGCCGTCCGCACTGCAACACTGGCCGGGGACAGCCTGAAACCCGGTACCGGGGAGGGTATGCCACCCGCACACCCGTCTCTGCCGCACGGGGAAAGTCACACGGTCGCCCAGTATCTACAGCCACCCTTCCGTTAAACCACCGGTAAGGGACCTGGAATGGCCTTCAGGCCCCGGCCTTTCCGAAAAAGGAAAACCGCCTTGGATTTTCCTTTTTGGGTAACCGTGGGCGTCGCGGAAGCAAGATTTCCCGGCGTTGGTGGGGTCCCCACTGTTTCGTCATCCCCGTCGGCGGTGGGCAGTCGCCTGAAATTTGACGACTTCAGAATCTGTTTGCGGCCTTCGTGTGGGGTCCCTCCCTTAGATGATTTCCCAGGATCAGCTTTGAGGAGCACAAGCGTGTGTGAGACCATAACGCCTTCCTTCCTTTTCCTAAGGGGTAAGCCCCTAACACTTTTATAACCACAACTATAGTTAGTATTATTTGATCTCATGACCTTCTACTGACAGTTACACGTCTGGACCACACTGCCAAAGGGCACGTGCGTAAGAATATGATGTCCGCACCAGAAGAGAAGCAAAACGCCCGTGGAAACGGTTGCGGTCACCCCTGCCCTCAACACACACACATACACACACGCCAGCACCAGCACCAGCACCAGCACGAGCACCAGCACCAACGTGGGATTGACGACTTTATCATCACGATAAAAGATAGCAAGGCCAAGAGAGTGAAGGAGCAGAACAATTCGAAGGCAGTAAACTAAAAGACGTGCAAACGTGCACACAATGAGGGCAAGAACTGGGGGTAGGTCCCACTTGCACGAATTAAGAGAGACTGACCGTAGATAGCAAAGATCAACGGCCGAAATCTCCTAATTTGGGCAAGTGGGACCTTGCCCCGGGAGGAAGTGCGACGAAGAGAACGAGCGGGCGCACACACACGGTCGCGAAGTTCGACGAAGCAGTTGGCACACACAGGCGTATGTGTGTCTTTGTGTGTGTGTGTGTGTGTGTGTGTTTGTGTGTGTGTGTGTGTGTGTGTGTGAGAGAGAGAGAGA